CGCAGGGGGGGCGCCGGGCATGCGGGCTGGGCCCAGTGGCTGAGCTGGACCCACGGGGGCGCCCGGGGTGGCCTGGCGCGGCCCGTTACCCGAAACACTTTCTGGGTCCCTGTGGATGTGATAGTGAGCTTCCCGTCCTTGGAGGTGTGCAAGGGGAGCCTGCGCCGGAGCGCTCAGACTCCGCGCTAGACGGCTTGGGGACCTTGTCTGGGGCACCTGGGCGCCCCAGACAAGGCTACGGGGATGTGCGTTGCGGGAGGTACCAGAGGGAGTGGTTACAGGGCCCTCTATTCATTGCAGGGACAAAGCGCAGCAGGTCTCAGGCTGGTGTCAGCCTCCAGGTGTGTGGCCTCCGTGAGCACACCTCCACGTGTGCAGTGGACTGGAGGGTTAAGGAAGAGCGGGGGAGGGCAGGGTGCTGGGGAAATGGGGTCTGAGCCTGGAAGAGGCGCCACCACCTGGGCACCTGTGAGTGGCAAGTTGGGGAGGCTTGGAGCCAGGACACCGCTTGAGCGTGGCTACAATGTGTGTGTGCTGGTGACGTGGGTGTGACGAAGAAGGCGGGCCGCGAGCAGGTAGTTGAGACCCTCAGAGAGCGAGGGGAGGCGGGGGAAGAGAAAGGTGAGGAGGGGAATGTGTGAGCTGGAGAGGAGAGAGAGCAGCAGAGTGAAGAGAGGAGGGACCTCACGGGGTGTGTGTGACAGCCTGCATGTGCCCGCAAGGCTGCACCCTCCCCTTGAGCTGGGCCTTCGAGGCACCAGTCACAGGGGCGCCAGGCAGAGCCTGGGCAACCACAGGCCCCTGGGTGCCCGGCCCACCCCAGCTGGCAGCCGAGGCGTCCAGCCGGTTCAGGCAGGGTTGGGAGCATAAGGGGGTGTGACAGAGGCAGGAGTCAGGAGAGTAGTCTGTGAGGAGGGAGGTCTGAGCAGGCTGGGCCCTTCTGTCCAGCCATGCCAGCTCTGCCCTGGCCAGTCTCGCCCTGTGCTGGCTATGGGAGCAGCAGGGGATAGGGTGGGGGGATAGGGTGAGGGGCACCTCAGCCTGGAGGCCCTGCCTCTTCCCTAGCCCCTCCCGGTCCCCTAGACCTTGGGGCAGAGTCAGGAATCACCCTGGGTAGCTGTGGAACCCATGGGTTGGGGGATTGGAGAGATCTGGGTTTGCACCACGTGACCCTTGGTGAGCCCTCTCGTGCCTCAGACCCTCGCCCTCTCGGTGGTGTCAGGGGCGGGTGGGAGAGAGCAGTACCCATGGCCGGGCTGAGGACTGAATGCGGTGATGTGAGGAGAGGCTCAGCCAGGCACACGGGACACATTCCATCACCTAGAGCTGCCCCTCTGACGCTTGTGCAGGGTCAGCTGGGGCTGGATCTGAGCTAGGCTGTTCTCTGTCACTCTGCAGATATGCAGGGAGCATTTGGGGTCGCCTCCGACGTGTTTATCCCCAGGCTGCCTTCGGCAGGGCCAGGAAAGCTCTGTAAATATTTATCCATCCCCGTTTGCAGCATTCATGGTTGATGAAACCCCAAGCCCGGTGGGATGGATGCTGCCTGCACTCCTGGAGCCAGCAGGGGAGGGAGGGCAGGGGCAGATGGACCTGCCTGGCAACTGGTTGTGTGACTTGGGCAGCTTGCTTGACCTCTCTGAGCCTCAGGGAGCTTGATGTTGCATAGAATGGCATGCTAATACTCCCCTGTCTTCCTCACAGCCTAACAAAGTGCCCTCCCATCAGAGTCACCTCTGCTGTCACCTAGCTGTGATCAGTTATCCCTGTTGGACCAATAGCAAACTGAGGCCCAGAGAAGGACACAACTAGCCTGGCCTTACCAAGCAGTTCCCTGTCTGGGGTCCTCCATTATCTCCCCTCTACCTCCCATTTTCTTGATTGGAAGTTGGTCCAGGGGCTCACCCCGAGCCTCTAGCTCAGCTGGGAGGCTGAGTCAGCCGAGAAATGCCTCGAGTGTGTTTGAGGCTGTGGTTTGGTGCCCACCAGAGGAGGGTGGGGTGAGCGAGCGGGACACCCACCACAGGCAGGTCAAGGGAGGCTACTGGCCAAGGAGGAGGAGGGAATGCTCCGGAAGAAACACTTCTCACGAATGTGGGTTTTGGAGATAGGCCAAGAGCTGAAGGAGGGGAGAGCTCTGGGTGGGGAGGCATGAGCCCTGGGTCTAGGCCCATCTCTTGCCTGACTTGCTGTGTGACTCTGGGCAAAGTCCTTGACCTCTCTGGGCTCTGTTTCTTCCTCTGGGAAATGCCTGCTCCCTGACCCCCCTGGGCTGTAGGTGAGCCCAGGTGCGCTCTATGCCCACCATCCCACCTCACTGAATCCCAGCAGCCCTGGGAGGACCAGCGCACCCATGCCGGGCCTGCAGCTAGGGCCTCTGGCCCCAGGCCAGAAAGGACTTGGAAAGATGAAGAGTGGGAGGTGAGCGGGGCAGGGAGCATGTCTTCCATCGTGGTAATGGGGAAACTGAGGCCAAGAGCCATTACATGATGGGCTCCCAAAAAAGATCCCACTGGCTGGAGGCCTCAATTCTAGTGCTTCTTGCTGTTTCTCCAAGACCAACAGACATGACATGGGCAAGGAGCAGGAGGCCTCTGGCCTGCAAGGAGACGCTGTATAAGTCGCTCTTCTTCTCTGGGCCTGAAAGCTCCCTTCTAGCTGCGACTCCTGTTTTGAAGGAGGTCATTTAGCCCTTTGCCATGGCACCATCCCATGGGACAGATGGGGAAGTCGAGGCTAAGAGAGGGCAGTGACTTACCCAGAGTCACTCCATCCAGGGTCTCCATGGCATAGAACTGGGCCTCTGAATGTCAGCCCGTGGCTCTTCCTGCTGCACTGAGAGTACCATGATCCAGGACTCGGGGCGTGGCCTTGGTGCCCTGTGGGGACAGGGAAGGAAGGGACGGTGTGTGTGTCCATTACCCACCTTCCCTCCATGGCTGGCTGCTCCAGGCCTCACTAGGGGACAGAGAGGAGAGGAAGGAGGGTCCTTGAGCCCCTCCCAGGCTTGGGGAAGGAATCTGTTCATTCTGGAGGTGAAGGTGGCAGTGTGGGGAGGGGGAGGGGCAGGCCCTCGTGGCTCATCACACAGACCTGGGGTTACCTCCTTAGTGTGAGACCTTGCATATGTATCATCCCCACCTTATGGGGGTGGGGTGAGGGTTCGATGAGCCCACCTGCAAAGTGCCTGGGAAGTAGCAGGTGCTTAATAATTTCCTGTTCCTTCTCTTCTGTCACCAAGGCGACGCCAGCCTGGGTCCCTGCTCAGAGGTAGCAGGTAGGTGAGCACAACAGCCCGCCACCTGTGGCGAGTTGTTCCCTGGGCAAGTTGCCTAACTTCTCTGGGCTCTGTTTCCTCATCTGAGAAATGGGCATGATGAAGGTGGAGTTGGTGAGAGGTCCCATCTGGGGCCTAAGAGCCTGTCTGTGGAGCTCTTGGCAGCGTCCCAGCCTAGACAGAGGGGACCTGCAACAGCGACAAGTACTTATGAGCAGTAAGGCCGGGATTGGCTGGAACCCACAACCCAGTGAGGCTGGGCTCTGCCAGCTAACCAGCCGTTCAGTGAGCAAGCTCTGAAACTGGGGGAAAACTGGTCCAGGGCCTCACACCCCAAGTAGCTCCACAGCCTCCCGGGGGTTCAGAAACTCCAGGTGTTCAGAAGACCCCTTCCTAGTGGGGGGCTCTGGATTCAGGAGCTTGGGGGGCTGGGACACTGATCAGAGCCCTGGGGCGCCTGGGGCCTGGGAGAGCCTCCAGAGGCTGAGGCTGAGGGTGGGGCCTGGGTGGCCTGGCTCCGGCCCCAAATATGGCTGTGGGGAGGCCACAGCCGCCCGGACCAGACAGGCCCAGACCAGACAGGCGCTGAGTCTCTCAGCAACAGCACCGCTCCATGCCTCTCCTCCACCTCTGCACAGTGGTCTGAGCCAGGCCTTTGCCTCTGGCCTGGGATGCCCGAGTCCTCACCTGGCCCCGCCATGCCCTTGCTGGGTGACCTCACAGTCTCCCAGCTTCTCTGAGCTTCTGCTTTTTTCATGCACCAGAACTGTGATCTCTGCCCTGGGACTTGCAGAGAGTGGGGGCTCCAGGTCAGAATCACCGTTTGTGTCCTGGGGCTCCTGCAGGGGGGTGCTGAGCATCTGGTAACTGTCTACCCCAAACACACACACGGAGAGGGCACGCAGACCTCGTCTAGCCCCGCCGTGCGCCCAGCCCTGGTGGCACATGAGCAAAATTGCCCCCCCCAGAAATCAGCCCTGAGTTCCAGGTGCCCCTACCAGGTGCATGGTCCGTGCTAAGGGCTTGACACCGTCGCCTTGGCTCGTCCTCAGATCAGCACTGTGGCGAGGTATCTTCCCCATTTGTCAGGTGAGCAAATCGAGGCAGGGCTGCAGGGTTGCTGCCCCACCATGCTGGGGAGTGGTGGCGGTGGGTGTCCCGGGCAGGAGCCAGCTCATAGAACCAGAGAGGGTTGGGGGGGTGGGGGTACCCAGGCAGGAAGGGAGGTGGAAAGGTGTTTGCTGGGGGGGAGTCGAGGGAGCAGGAGGAGGTTGCCTGGCTTTGCCTCAGAAGCTTTGTGGGGTCCATTCCTGGGTGTGTGGAGGGTACAGCCCTCCAGGAGGGGGCAGGAGGTAGCAGGAGGCCTTGGAACCAGTCATCGGGAACCAGTCAGGCCATGCCCAAGGGCCCCGCTGTGCGAGGCGGGAACGCCCTTCACTTGCCCAGCGACCCAGCTGGCTGGGGCTGAGCCCGGGGTGTACTGACGGCCCACACCCCTAACCATGGCCACGAGGACCCGAGGCCTGACCAAGCCTCCACATCCTCTCTCCTGCCCAGGACGCCCACCGCCGCCCCCCGGTGAGGAGGGGGCCACAGCCCTGGCATGAAGCTCCTCCTAGCAGCCTGGCGCCGGGCCCTGCCGCCCAGGAGGCCCCCCGCGCTGCCGGCAGCCCTAGACCTCCCCGCTGCGGCGTGCCTGACCCGCCTGAGGGGCCGAGTGCCCGCAACCGACAAAAGCGGTTCGTGCTGTCGGGCGGGCGCTGGGAGAAGACGGACCTCACCTACAGGTAGGGCCTGGGCCCCGAGCAGGCTCTCGATCTCTCCTGTGTGCGCGTGTGAGCCTGCTGCCCTCACACCTGCTGCCTGAGACACACGTTGGGAAGATCTCCATGGCTAACAGACCTGTGTGTCCGTCCACTGACCCCCACACCATCCATGCACCAACACCTCTGAACCCCAGCGTAGATGTACACACAGAAGTACCCCCACACCCGTGCCCTCTCACGGCAGAGGGGCAGTGCCTCTATCAACACGTGGTCTCAGCATGTCTGGTGGCCCCGCAGATGTGCTGGGGCACGGCCTGCAATCATCCAGGCTGCCTCTGTGGCGACGAGGGCCAGGCCCTGGGACTCCGTGGTGAATAAGGCAGACATGGCCCGTCCTTTCGGGGAGCTAGGGTGTTCACCAAATCATTGTTCAGATCTACCATGACAACTCGGGGTCTGTGTAGGGAGAAGAAGTGATGAGCAGGATGGGTCATAGCTCAGGTGCTTTGAGACCCCGGGAATGACGCAGAAGCCGGGACTTGTCCTGCAGGCGGGCACTTGGCCTGGGAGAGAAGGCACATGAAGACCAGTGGTGTTGCAGGGCATTGGAGCAGAGACTGCTGGGGGCCTCACAATTGTCCTGGGTGGGGAACTGGGAACCAGGAGGGGGCAGTCAAGGGGCCAGGGTCTCCCCACAGTGGGTGGTACTGTCAGGTCTAGAAGGCAGGTGTTGGGGCTCCTGGTCCTGTCTTCTTTCCACCGAATGCAGACACCTGTGTGCACCTAAGACACACAAACCCACACAAAGATGGGCCCACATGGCAGAGGGCCTGGTGCGCCCCACCTGAGGCCCAGAGCGCACCTGGCCCATGTCTCGCGTGCATGCACCCGCACTGAGCATCCAAGGGCAACTCCTGGCCATCAGGGGCTGAGCAAGGCCCAGGCCCTTCCTCCTCCCCCCAGGATCCTCCGGTTCCCGTGGCAGCTGGTGCGGGAGCAGGTGCGGCAGACAGTGGCAGAGGCCCTGCAGGTGTGGAGCGAGGTGACACCACTCACCTTCACTGAGGTGCACGAAGGCCACGCCGACATCATGATTGACTTCACCAGGTGAACTGGTCACCTGGGACCCGTTTGGGAATAAGCCCCAGCTGTCAGCAGCCACTGACTCTGCCTCCACCCACCCCAGGTACTGGCATGGGGACAATCTGCCGTTTGATGGACCTGGGGGCATCCTGGCCCATGCCTTCTTCCCCAAGACGCACCGTGAAGGGGATGTCCACTTCGACTATGACGAGACCTGGACTATTGGGGACAACCAGGGTATGAGCTGGGGACCTATTTTCCAGATGGGGCAGCTGAAGAGATTAGAGAATGGGGACCCACCAGGGCCTTGCGCTGGGGTCTGGAGCTCGGGGGTCTTGCTGCAGGAGGCTCAGGGATGGCTGGGCTATCTCCCCTTTCCAGGAACAGACCTCCTGCAGGTGGCAGCCCACGAATTTGGCCATGTGCTGGGGCTGCAGCACACGACGGCTGCTAAGGCCCTTATGTCCCCTTTCTACACCTTCCGCTACCCGCTGAGCCTCAGCCCAGATGACCGCAGGGGCATCCAGCACCTATATGGCCGGCCTCGGCCAGCCCCCACCTCCAGGCCCCCGGCCCTGGGCCCCCAGGCTGGGGTGGACACCAATGAGATTGCTCCACTGGAGGTGAGGCCCAGGAGGGTGGGAAGACTGGAGGTGAGGCCCTGCTCCCAGCTCCCTCAGCCCGCTAGGCTCTGTGGCTCCAACGTGGGCTCTTTCCTGGCCCTTCTCTCCCACCCCAGCCGGAAGCCCCACCAGATGCCTGCGAGGTCTCCTTTGACGCAGTCTCCACCATCCGCGGCGAGCTCTTCTTCTTCAAGGCAGGCTTCGTGTGGCGGCTGCGTGGGGGCCGGCTACAGCCTGGCTACCCTGCGCTGGCCTCTCGCCACTGGCAGGGACTGCCCAGCCCCGTGGATGCAGCCTTCGAGGATGCCCAGGGCCACATTTGGTTCTTCCAAGGTGAGTGGGAGTTGAGGGTCATGCTCAGGAGACTTCTGGGAGCCAGGAACGTTATGGCCAAGGGTAGGGACAGACAGACAGACGTGATGGGCAGATGGTGGGTGCCCCGAAGCCTTGGGGCCAAGGGAGGGTGTGGCTCACTCCTCTGGGCATAGCTAGGGGGCTCGCGGAGGCGGCTCTCGAGGTGGGAATAGGGTAGAAGGTATTGCACGTGGCCTGTGTATTGGCGCAGTCAGCCCTCAAAGGCACCCCGTGGAGTGGGCAGGATTATGAACCCTGGTCTAGAGATGAGGCCTCCGGGGCTCTGAGGTGAAGTGACTCACCTGAGGGCACAGCTGGGAAAAGGCAGAAGTGGGATGTGACCTAGGTCTGGAGAGCCTAGAGCCTGTTCCGTTAACTTGCAGCTGGCAGAGACGAGAGCCTGGAGCATTCGAGGTGGCAGGGATTTCATAAACAAAGGCCCAGCCAGGGTGGTCAGCTGGCACTTGTCATGGGCAGCCACATGCCAGGGGAAGAAGTGGGAGGCCAGGCAGCCTCTCTGCTTAGAATAACCTTTCCCGCGGGCACCTCTCCGTGTCTGCACCACTCACCTTACCCCGCGGCTCCAACTGCCCTCTGGCATGGAGTGCTGAGCAGGCATTCCTGGCCTTTGTGTTTGACAGACAAGGGACTGAGGCTGGGAAAGTCTGTGGCGGTGGTGGTGGCTGGGCAGGTCTGCGGTGGCTGGGCATGGCAGTTGGGCAGCTCCGTTGCAGCCTCCCCCCTCTGGCAGGCGCTCGGTACTGGGTGTATGATGGCGAGAAGCCAGTCCTGGGTCCTGCACCCCTCTCTGAGCTGGGCCTGCTGGGGTCCCCAGTCCACGCCGCCTTGGTCTGGGGCCCCGAGAAGAACAAGATCTACTTCTTCTGCGGCGGAGACTATTGGCGCTTCCACCCCAGCACGCGCCGTGTGGACAGCCCTGTGCCCCGCCGAGTCACCGACTGGCGAGGGGTGCCCTCTGAGATCGATGCCACCTTCCAGGATGCTGACGGTGTGTTGAGGGTGGCATGGCTGGTGGAAGTGGTGGCTGGGTATCAGCTCCTCATCACAGGTCCTTTGTCCAGTGCCCTCCCTATCCCCTGTCCTCCTGCCAGGGCAGTGCTATACCCCCGTGCTGCAGATGAGGAGATGAGGGCCAGAGAGGTACTAGGACTTGCCAGGGCCCTGGGTCATAGCTGGTCAAATAATAACCGCTGCACACAGAGGACCCACGATGCTCCAGGCACAGCACCAAGCTCCTTACACGTCTCATGCAATTCTCAGATGTAGCACCTGTTATGAATCCAGTTTCCAGAGGAACAAAGAGAGGTTCAGGCAATGAGGTCCCTAACCGGGGCCATCCAGGTAGATGGTGGGGAGCCAGGCCCCCCACCTAGGCAGTCCCTGCTACTAACCACTGAATCACCCAGCCTGCAGTCTCGAAGGACTAGATTGGGAACTTGCAGTCCAGTACTCTCTCCTGTGCCCCCACCCCCACTTTGCTTCTGTGCCTTCCCACATCAGAACCCACTGGGAGCGCTGTCCTGTGGTGGCCTTGGGCTCTGGGGCTCCAGGTTGCCCTTATCATCCACCTTGACTCAAGATGCCCATCTGTAGTTTTGGCTGTGGGTGCGGGAGTAGAGTGACTTGGGGAGGGGGAGAGTGACGAGAGAGACTTGCTTTCCTGAGAGGTAGGAGTTGAGCCTCTGAGGCTCCTGGCATTTGTTAGGCTGGGTGGTAGCTCAGACCAGACCCTGGGGGCAGGCGAAAGGGTTCCTCCGAGGGAAGGGAGGTTCTAGAAGGGCCACCGTGGGGCCTGCAGTTTTCAAGAAACTCAGCAGCGGCCAAGGCCTGCCCACCCGGACCGCCCCCTGTGCCCATCCCTGGGCACAGCCTGAGGGGTGGGCGTGGGGCCCAGTGTCCACTTGCCCAGGCCTGACTCGCCTCTCTACTCAGGCTATGCCTACTTCCTGCGTGGCCGCCTCTATTGGAAGTTTGACCCAGTGAAGGTGAAGGCCCTGGAGGGCTTCCCCCGCCTTGTGGGCCCCGACTTCTTCGGCTGTACCGAACCTGCCAACACTTTCCGCTAACCAGCGTGGATGCCCTCAGGGCTCCTGACCCCTGCCAGGCCACTGACATCAGCTAGAGACCTGTGGCCATCTTTGTGGCTGTGGGCCCCAGGCATGGGATGGAGCCCATGTCTCCTCAGGGGGGTGGGGAGGGGGTGCTGCCACCATGACAACTGCAGGGAAGGCCACGCGGGTCGTGGTCATCTGCCAGCGACTGTCTCAGACTGGGAAAGAGGCTTTGGTGTTAATTAAGGGTGAGGGTGGTTCAGGTCGGCTCTGCCCCACCTCGTGCAGGTCACGGTCAAACCGGCCACCCTCAGTCTCCATCCCTGTCCCTCAGCAGGGCTGGGGGAGCTGGAGCCCTCACTGGTTGGTGATCCTGGAGATCTGCTCCCCAGGATCCAGGCCAAAAGGTCCACAGTCGGCTGGGGAAGAGGGGTGCTTCCTGCCAGAGACCCCAGGCCCTGGAGGCCCCAACATACCTCAATCCTTATCCCAGCACTGGGACCCTCCAAAGCCATGTAAATGTCTGTAGTGTGTACAAAGCCTTTTTTTTTTTTTAAACTAAGGACTGTCATTAAACATGGTCATTTTCTACCTGCTTGCCTGGGGTCTCTCTGTGACTGCAAGGCCAGGATGGAGAAGGGGTTGGGCCGGGAAGGTGGGAGGCCTGGCTTGGGACCTCCTCTGTCCTGGGAGCCAGGGTCACAGCCCACCCCACCCGCAAGCCTCTGGTCCTTGGGGCTGGGTGCAATGCTTGGGGCTCCTCCCGCTCCACTCCTCCATCACATCTCGCTAGATGCCTGTAGTGGCTTTGAAATTGGTTCCCCGTTTCCCCGCTTGCCCCTCTGATCATCCTCCACTAAGTGGTGGTCGTTTTATCCGATCATGCCACGTCCCAGCCACCATCCTAAACTCCTGTTTCCCAATGCTCTTGGGACACAGAACAAAACTCATGGTTGCCACGGCCAACCCTTCCTAACTCTCCAGTGTCTTCTTGCCCACCACCCAGCCCGACGTGTATCTTCTTCATAGTGGCACCTATCACAGCTGCAATTCTATTAGACTTGAACCATGTGAAATTGTTAGCAGTGGGCCGTTGCTGACCTATTGCATCGTTCACTGGATACATGGATGCTCTGATGCTTTCATTAGCGTCAGTCCCCGCTCCAAGCTTTGGGCGCCACAGGGCAGGGCTGGCCAGTTTCACCGCACAGTTGGGCTTGTTGTAGGCACAAAGCACAGTTAAGAAAGGAATGAGGAGGTTCCCTCCTCTGCAACACTCATCTGGTGCACCAGCCAAACCAAATACCACCTGGGCCTGGAAATCCTGCCAGGCCCCACCCAGGGTTGTCATTCTGCCCATCCCCACAGCAGCAGGAACAGCTGTTGAGCCCGGAACTGCAGTATCTGTTCCTAGGAGCCCTCTCATCTATTCAGCAGCACTGCATTCCCGGGTGGGGAAACTGAGACATGGGTAGCTCGGCCCTCCTCCTGCCTTCAGGCCTCATTTCATTCTTCTTCCACTGGGCTGAGTTCCAGTCCCAGCTGTGAGACTGCGAAAGCCACCGCCTGAGTCAGGGCCTCGGTTACTATTTCTGCCCGCGAGAAGTTTCCCTCGGTACCTCGACTCGGGAGGCAGCCTGGGAGGAATAGACACGGATCGAGGCTCCTTTAAGGGGCCCGCGGGGGCGCGCCTCGGCCTTTTGTTTGGGCAACGGCGGCGCGCGCGTCAGCGTCAAAGCCCGCGCATGCGCACTGTGGGCGGTCTGGTCGTCGTCTGTGGCTGCGGCTGAGGAGCTCGGCTGCGGCGCGAGCCCCCGGCCTGTTCTTTGCCTCGGTGTGCCCTCTCAGTCTCGCTGCCCGGCCTCGGCCCCCTGCCTCCGCCACCGCAATGATGATGATGGCGCTGAGCAAGACCTTCGGGCAGAAGCCTGTCAAGTTCCAGTTGGAGGACGACGGCGAGTTCTACATGATCGGCTCTGAGGTAGCCCGCGGCACCTCCTCGCCCTTCTCGGCCCCGGGGTCGCGGGAGCCTCAGAGCAGGCCTGCGCGCCGGGAACGCCCGTTTCCATTCATCGCGGCGCGGGGGGGGGGCGGGCGGTGCACGCGCAGCGCTGGGGGGCGTGGTCGGGAGGGCGTGGTCAGCGAGCCCCCGCCCCCCCGCCCTGGCGCTCCGGGATAGGTTAGCAATTTCGCGGTGGTGGGGACGCGCCCCGCTACCAGGGCTGGGGCTCCCCGAGGGGCACCGGATCCCGCTGAGTGGGTAGCACTCGGGTTAGACCCTGAGCGCTTCTGGGGGGCATGTTGGGAATCTCACACGCGCCGCTACTCCATTGCTGCCTCTGGGATCCTGAAATAGCGGGTGGAAGCGTGGGCTCAGTGAGGGCTCATCCCGTTGTGTTGCCTTTGAGGTGGACTTTGAGGAGGTGTTTTGACCTTTGTTTACCCGTGAGGAAATGGGTGGCGAGGAGGATGCTTGCTTTTGGTTCGATAAGGCCCCAGGCTACCAGCTAGCTCTATCAGCAATTCGGGAGCAAGTGCCACTTTGGATATCTTGAACTTACTCAGAATTATGAGGAGGGAAAGATCCTAAAGGTCTTTTATCTTTGACTAGAAGTGACAGCACTTTGTCGAATCAGCTGGATGACTGACTTTAGGAACACCCTACACCTGGTCCTTCAGTGGGAATTTGTACTAAGTATATTAAGTTTTTCCAGAGTGCCTCAACCTAACCCTTTCTGGTCTAAAGGCGGTCCTCAGACAGTGTATATTCCTTTTTTAAAAAAATGGTGGATATACGGTTCAGATGTACAGATACTGAGCAGTGGAGTCTGTCTAGGTTAACGAGGCAAGTGCCGATCCTGGAGAGCTGAAGTAGGTACAAGATGCCCAGGGCTGTCTCTCCTTGTAGCAGTTTTCAGTATCAGACGCCAACATTTCATTACTGTTTTTACAGTTTTTGGGTTTTTTTCTTCACAGTTGAACATAATGTGAGTGAAGCAAGCCCCATGATGGTCACAGTAGGCTTTCAGGACACCCTGTGATTCCTGGCTTGTCTTAGTTGTATCGAGTTGTGAGACCACTGTTGTCAGGAGCATCTTTAGTGTTTCCATTTTTCACTAATTTTTATAAAACAAAAAGGACAGGATGCAGTAACATTTTCAAGTTATCACATAAGTGCTGCTCTTCAGAGATACCTGTGCTGGGGAAATGGAGCCAGTGCCTGTCCATCTGCCACAGCTCACATGGTCCTCATTGGCCTACTGGTCGGCACCTGCCTAAATGCAGGATAGGAGTTTCGGTATGTGATAGTGGGCAGGTTGTTTAAAGAAACCTTTACCTGATCTAGTGGGCAGGAAGAGCAGTCAGTTTGGCCTTTGAGTGGGTGGTACTTTTGAAAAGCAAGCCTTCATTTATTAGGTGGAGCAAATTGAGAGAAGAAGCACATGGCCAGATGGGGAGAACGTCGGGAGGCCTGGTTCCAGCACTGCTTGGCCTCCCAGTCACTTTTCTCATGTGTATAATGAGATGTTTAGACTAGATGGTCTCTAAGATCTTCCCCATAACACATTTTAGTTTCTAGAAAGCTAACTACGGTCTTCTCTTTCAGCCCTCTTGAGTGAGAACAATTGACCTGAGACCCAGTCTGTAGAGACCCAGGGGGGAGAGGGGGAGGTGGTTTGCTCTCTCAGACCTGGCTTGACGATCGTCAGACCTTTGGAGGTCTGGGAAGGGTTCAAGATCAGGATACTGTCTACTGATATCCAGCAGCTCCTGTGACAGCATTGAGTGGATGGCCACCAGGCCCCTTCCCCTTGGGAAACAAGCACCATATTCAGAGAGGTGGGCCGGCGAGAGCAACACATCCAGTGCCCCCATGCCAGTCCTCGGAACAGCCTTGGGAGGGCGTCTGCAGTCACAGGGAATGTGTGTCACTGTTCTCCGCCATCTGCAGGCAGCTGTGTTCCCTGAGCCAGAGTCACAGAGCTGAGAGGACTTGAAGAAATGCCCAGGTCCACTCCTACATTTTACATTTGGGAAACCTGAGTCCAGAGAGGGCGAAGGCTGGTTCAGGGAAAACCCAGGAAGGCAAGCCCCGCTCCCCTAAATTCTGAACGATTCTTGGGAAGGGTCTAGGAGTCCTGGAGCCCTGTAGTACCTGCAGGGTAGCGGTGGGGGCATTATTGTCAACGTCTTCGTGAAAACCTAATGGAAACTGGACATTTGCCCTCGGATGGTAGTGACATTTGAGCCAAATAACGTGAGGAGACTGTGCCTATTGTGTGGAGCACGAGTGACTGGCTGTGGCTGCCTCTTGTCACTCTGTTCGGCAGCTCTGGTTGCCAGTTATATAAATCTTTGATTCATGAAAAATGGAGAAACATTTTTATTTAATAAATATACTATGCTGGATAGGTAAATGGGGAGATAATAGAAGTGGTTCTTCCTGGGCCAAAGTTCAGAGTTGCTGAGCATTTGGCAGATGAGTAAGGAGACCCAGAAAAGGAAAGTAATTCCCAGTCACAGGTGGAGCCAGCATCTGGCACCCAGTCGGCTGACTGTCCCTGCCGTAAGACTCAAATGGTCATTTTTTTTGTGTGTGTGAGGAAGACCAGCCCTGAGCTAACATCCTATGCCAATCCTCCTCTTTTTGCTGAGGAAGATCGGCCTTGGGCTAACATCCGTGCCCATCTTCCTCTGCTTTATATGGGATGCTGCTAGAGCATGGCTTGATGAGCGGTGCGTCGGTGTGCGCCAGGGATCCGAACCAGCGAACCCTCGGGCTGCCTCAGTGGAGCGCGCGCACTTAACCGCTACACCACCGGGCCGGCCCCTCAAATGGTCGTTTTAAAAAGTAGGTGAGGGGCCGGCGGTGGCGTAGCGGTTAAGTGCGCCAGCTCCGCTTTGATGGCCCGGGGTTCACAAGTTCAGAACCCCTGGCGTGCACCGATGCACCACTCATCTAAGCCATGCTCTAGCAGCGTGCCATATAAAGCAGAGGAAGATGGGCACGAATGTTGGCCCCAGGCCGATCTTCCTCAGCAAAAAGAGGAGGAGTGGCAACAGATGTTAGCTCAGGGCTAATTTTTCTCACCCAAAAAAAAAAAAAAAAAGTCAGTGCAACAATGGGGTTTCTTTAGAAAAACTTTAGGACTAGATTTCTTTCCATTGAGGAAGTCATACTTCGAGTATTTGGTGCAAGCAAACTGAAGCTATTGTTTGGGGCAGTAATGCTTTGTGTAGCAGTCTGGTGGATTGCTGATGATGCTTTTTAAACTCTTCGGAAAATTCCTTTGGTATCCCTGGTTTGAGTTTTGTTACCAAACAAAGCAACAGGGGCCATGGGGGGAATTATTCTGCATCTGTCTAAAATTAAAAGACCTTTTGGCTGTTTATTACGTCGTAAAAATATCAAAGTCTTGTTCTTAAGATAAAAGAAAGTCAAAGAGGCCTTACATTTCTGGCAAGTGCCAGAAATTGGAATCACTGTGAGCTTCTCAGCGACTCTGGGGGTTTTTAGTGAGCCCCGAGGGCCTGCCTCATGAGCGTCT